CAGATATCACAAGCTTTTATTTATCAGCGAAAATGAAAGTATAACATATCAAATAAGAATTAAGCTAGTAACAAGAAAAAAGAACTTCATAGAACCATAATATGGTTTGAAACTTCCATGTTATATGCTTATATAGATGAATTTTTGGGTGTTAATTTCACCTAATCAAGCTTTTAGATAAGATTTCAATGAAGGGCTACAAATAGCTACCACTTATATACAATTGGTGGGGTTGGTATGGAAAAAAGATACCTAATCAAAATCACATTAAAAATCGTCATTTTAATATCATGATTTTCATTTACTGACACTTGAGACCTTACATTTTAAATTTATATCAAAAAATCACCCTTAAATTTTCTTGTAATATCGACTACAACTCTGAAAATAACATTTATTCTTTTGATTAAGGTACGAGAGTAATTCTTTCTACGATCAAACAACATTGCCCGGAAATGTTGGCTTATGTGGTAATCGTACTTCATCAAGACAAAGCGTTTTTGAAACCACAGTGGATGGATTATTATCTAATCTTTCTATCGCCACACCTAAAATACCTGGTTTCTTTGCTGTGGCCACATCACCCGTTAATGGCACCAATACAAGCACTGCGTATGCTATCGCCCAGTGTGTCCCTACTGTAACATCGAAGGGTTGTAGTGATTGCTTACAGGTTGCTTACGCTAATATAAAAAGTTGTGCAACTGATGTTACTGATGGGAGAGGTGTTGATTCTGGGTGTTTTATGAGGTACTCAGCCTCTTCGTTTTTCCCCAACAATACAATTATGGATATCACGCCATTTTTACGAGATGGTAAAGCTTCTGAAAACCCTATGATATATAGTTTTCTTGAAATATTGTATTAGTTTTGAAAATAAGGAACTCAATATCAAGTGAATCAACATGCTCTCTTATAATATTTCCATTTTCAGGAGGTTCAAGCAACAAGGGAGCCATTATCGGAGGTGTGGTTGGAGGTGTAGTTGGTTTGATTATCTTGTTAATAATACTTATACTTTTGTGGTATCGTCGATCCAAGAAAAGAACATCCCCAGGAAGTATGAATTGTCGATTTAATTCTAAACAATTTTATTAAATTTGATCAGTAATAGATTTTAAACTGACATTATTTAATTTCCAAACTAGCAGGTAACTTACATGGGGCAACAGAATTGCAAGGCCCAATGGCGTATAGCTACAATGATCTCAAAAGAGCTACCAAAGATTTTAGGGAGGATAATAAACTTGGAGAAGGAGGCTTTGGAGATGTGTATAAGGTACTTTAACTCATTTTAACATACTTTTTTTCTTTGGTTCATTAATTATTGTGTGTTACATTATGTAGGGAATCGTGAAGGGTGGAAACATTGTTGCAGTGAAGAAACTAGCCATAGGTTCCAATAATGCAAAAGACAATTTTGAGAGTGAAGTACGGGTTATTAGTAATGTTCATCACCGAAATCTTATCCGTCTTCTAGGATGTTGTAGCAAAGGACCAGAATTACTTCTAGTTCTTGAGTACATGGCAAATGGAAGTCTAGAAAAATACCTATACGGTAATTAAATCGGTATTTACTAATGATTAGAAAGTATATAAATAAGTGAACTTCTATTTAATTTCTTCTCTTCACTCCTTTTGTGATATAGGTGACAAAAAAGGGAACCTTAGCTGGAAACAACGTTATGATATTATTTTTGGCACAGCTAGGGGTCTAGCATATCTACACGAACAATACCATGTAACCATCATTCATAGAGACATAAAACCAAGCAACATTTTACTCGACAACGATTTTCAGCCCAAAATTGCTGATTTTGGATTGGCAAGGCTTCTACCAGAAGACCAGACACATATTAGCACAAGATTTGCTGGAACTTTGTAAGTAATTAATATGATATATTTAAAAATACGTCTTTCGTATAGTTTAAGGAATTGAAGAGGAGAATATTAATTAATAACAAATTGTTAATTTACTTATAGGGGCTATACAGCACCAGAGTATGCAATTCACGGACAGTTGTCAGAGAAGGTTGACACCTACAGCTTTGGTATAGTGGTTCTTGAGATTATTAGCGGAAAAAGATGCACAGATGTCCCAAATGAATCAGCTGGAGAACAGTACCTTCTAGAACACGTAAGCTTGAAGCTATTTAACTTAAGTTTACTTAACTTATCAAGATAATGATTTAACTAGTAACTCGAGTTAATGTATGATAACAGGCTTGGAATCTGTATGAAACTCGCATGCACTTGAAGTTGGTTGATGAGACATTAGACCCAAGTGAATATAGAGAAGAAGAAATAAAGAAAGTCATAGAAATAGCACTAATGTGCACTCAGTCACCGGTTTCTGTAAGGCCAACCATGTCTGAAGTGGTGATGCTTCTAAGTGATCGATCACGGGTGCAAAACCCACCAAGTAGACAAAATGTGAATTTTACCGATATAAGGATACAAGTTGAAAACTCCACATCCACTACTTTGTCCATGAGCAATGCTGATGCCACGATTACCGAATTAACAGGACGTTAATTTTATTACTGATGTGGCAATATGGATCCAGAAGTAGTATGAAGTTTACCTTGAGATTTAAGTGTATGCGTTCATTGCTAGTACTCTAATTTTCATTTAGGAATGGAAACGCAAATGTGTAGAATCTGCGAACATATGTAAAATTTGATCATGCTATGATCTTTCGTATGCTTTGATTCCTGTAAACGCATATCAATAAACTGTTATGGAG